ACAGTTACATCAATCATTGAATGAAATCAATGTTCCACTCATGTCAAAGGAATCCACTAATATATCCGGAATTTCTATGCTTGAAATTTAAAGTAGGTCTATAGTTCGATCATGCATCATTCATGCATACCCATGTGATTAACCGAGCTTCACTACGCTCCTATAGCCCAAGAAACAGCGCTATCCAATCAATCTTGCATGCTAGTCCATTCAAAGAGATCATTTAAGTCCACTTTAATGACTCTAGACTAGGAACTAAAATAATGTATGGATTTTGTTCACCTGTGGGGTTTCATTCACCAGGTTATTTAAATAAATTAACCTGATGAGCCCATCAATCCATAATTATTTTGGACATTTTATTTAATATTGAAACCACAATTAAATAAGAGAAATAATAAATTTCTGATTAAACATAATTCTGCAAATGAATGTATTACATATGTAACTTATTTTTCTCCAAAAACAGATACAACTTTTAATTACATCATTTGCCCCAATCCAATTGCACTAGTGTGCTTCTCATGCTTAGGAAATGGAAGGGGTTTAGTAAGTGGATCAGAGACATTCTCATCCGTATGAACTTTGAACATCTTGACATCTCATCTGCCAACGATCTCTCAAATGAGGTAATACTTCCTCTCAACATGTTTGGATTTGAAGTGTGACCTAGGCTTCTTTGATTGAGCAATGGCGCCATTGTTGTCACAATGCAATTCGATTCCATTTTGAGCACTTGGTACGATATCCAGCTCAGTTAGGAACTTCTTTATCCAAACTGCTTCCTTAGCTGCTTCAACAGCAGCCAAATACTCTGATTCTGTTGTAGAGTCTGCGACAGTGCTTTGCTTCGAACTCTTCCCGCTCACTGCTCCTCCATTTAGACAGAAAATGTATCCAGACTGGGATTTAAAATCATCTCTGTCTGTTTGGAAACTCGCATCCGTATAACCTTTGACAACCAACTCATCTTCGCCACCATATACTAAAAACATTCCTTTAGTCCTTCTCAAGTACTTAAGGATGTTCTTGGCAGCTGTCCAGTGTGCTTCTCCTGGATTTGCCTGAAATCTGCTACACATGCTTAAAGCATATGAAACATTCGGCCTTGTACAGATCATGGCATACATTATTGACCCACTGCCGAAGCATAAGGTACAATCGCCATACGTCTCATCTCGTTTGGTGTAACCGGACATTGAGATTTACTGAGTGTAATGCCATGAGACATGGGGAGAAATCCTCTCTTGGATTTTGACATCTCGAACTTGTCAAGAACCTTATCAATATAAGTCTCTTGACTCAGCCCAATCATTCTTTGAGACCTGTCTCGATGAATCTTGATTCCCAAAATGTACTCGGCGTCACCCAAGTCTTTCATGGAGAAACAACTCTTCAACCAGTCCTTGACTGACTCAAGCATTGGTATGTCGTTCCCTATGAGGAGTATGTCATCTACATACAAGACTAAGAAAACTATGCTGCTCCCACTGGACTTCTTGTATACACAAGGTTCCTCTTCGCTTTTGAGAAAACCAAACTGTTTGATTGCTTCATCAAAACGAAGGTTCCAACTCCTTGATGCTTGCTTCAATCCATAAATGGATTTCTGAAGTTTGCATACCTTTCCAGGATTTTTTGGATCTTCAAAACCCTCAGGTTGTGTCATATACACTTCCTCCATCAAGAAACCATTCAAGAAGGCGGTTTTGACATCCATCTGCCAAATTTCATAATCGAAAAATACAGCAATCGCTAGAAGAATCCGAATGGACTTAAGCATTGCTACTGGAGAAAAGGTTTCATCATAGTCAATACCATGAATCTGTTTGTATCCTTTTGCTACCAGTCTTGCTTTATAGATGTAGGCATTTCCATCCTTGTCTGTCTTAATCTTGTAAACCCACTTGCAACCAATAGGTTTTACCCCATCAGGCAAGTCCACCAGGGTCCACACAGCATTTTCAGACATTGATTCCATTTCGGATTTCATGGCCTCAAGCCATTCATTTGAGTTGGGGCTCACCAAAGCTTGCTTGTAGGTAGAAGGTTCCTCATTCTCCAATAAGAAGATTTCAGAATCCTCAGTTAACAGAACTTCAACAAACTGTTTGTTTCTGATTCTGGCAGACCTACGTAGGGTATGAGCAACAATAGAAATGTTCTCTCCAACTTCTTGAAGATTTTTGCATGAATTAGATTCAAGTGGGACGATAGGAGTCTCGCTAGTCGAATTAGCTTGCTCTGACGCATGATTAATCGATTCATGCGCCCTCGCCTCTGATGTGGTGTTATTCCACATCCATTTGTTGCTCGTCTCGAATTTCTTTGAGAACCACTTTACTCCCACTTGGCTTTCTAGAGAGGAATTCCTTTTCTAGAAAGACACCATCGCGAGCAACAAACACTTTGTTATCTTCGCGAGTGTAGAAGTAATACCCCATTGTTTCTTTTGGATAACCCACAAAGAAACATTTGTCTGATTTAGGTTGTAGTTTATCGCCTTGTAAACGCTTTACATAGGCTTCACATCCCCAAATCTTGAGATAAGACAACTTTGGAACTTTTCCAGTCCATAACTCATATGGTGTTGTCTCAACTGCTTTGGATGGGCTTCTGTTTAGTATGTTCGCAGCTGCTCCTAATGCATATCCCCAGAATGATATGTGAAGATCAGTAAAGCTCATCATGGACAGAACCATATCTAGTAAGGTCCTATTCCTCCTTTCTGACACCCCATTTAACTGTGGCGTCCCTGGAGGAGTTAACTGTGAAATTATTCCACAATTAATTAGATGTTCATCAAATTCTTGGGTTAAATATTCACCACCACGATCAGATCATAATGCCTTGATTATTTTCCCAAGTTGGTTTTGTACCTCATTCTAGAATTCTTTGAACTTTTCAAAGGCTTCCAACTTCTGCTTCATTAAGTAAACATATCCAAATCTACTTAAATCATCAGTAAAAGTAACGAAGTATCTATATTGACCCCTAGATTTTGAACTCATTGGTCCACATACATCCGTATGTATGAGTCCCAAAAGGTCACTTGCTCTTTCACCTACACCCGTAAAGGGTGACTTAGTCATTTTACCAAGCAAGCATGACTCACAATTTTCAAATGATTCATAATCAAAGGAAGAAAGGTAAACTTGCGAATTATAAAATATTCCCCCTAGGTTGTTGTTGTTAACAGGTCTCTTTTATGTGTTATCATTTTTTAATTATAAAATATTAGTATCATTGTATGATACAAGGAAATAAACACTATACTTTATGCTTCAAAAAAAAACAAAAAGCAAATAAAAACCCACTTCTCTGCCCAGAAGAGTAGTTTCACTCCAAACCCTTGAATTTCCATTGTTCTCACTTCTCAGGGTTGGTTCATTACCATAGTTGAAGGCCATTGTTTCTCATGGTGTTGCCACGCACTATCGTTCTATTTGCAAGGTCTTCGTCCCCACCTCCGTTGTATAGAGCGATTATGAATGGGTGTTTCGTTCAATCGTTTCTCCTTTTGCGTGTTTGTTGTACGAAGCGACCTGCGACCACGACCAATGTCGTCTTTCGGCGCAACTCACCACCATCTACTCTCGTTGTTTTGATATGGAATTGTCTTGGCTCTCATTTGTTGAATCTATGCAATATCATTTGAAAAGGTTTGCCCACTTTCTCTCTCTTAGGGTTTCATTTTTTTGTCAAATATCCATCTAATTGTTCTTGATTTCAGTTTTGTTGGTAAGTTCAAGATCGTAAAGTAGGAGATATATCCGATGGTGATATGAAGAGGTTTATTGTGAATTGTGATTGCAATTGTGATTATGCAGATTGTTTGATGAAGAAATCGTAATCATTTAAAGCTGAATTCAACAAAGAAATTAAGCAATTCAAGTTTAAGAGAGATGCAGGTTCGATAATATTAACATTGATCGGTTAATTAGATTGATTAGCATAATTGCTACTATTATTACTCTTTTAACTTGCTCCAATTTTTTACTTTTTTTTGGTTTAAAGTTTTGATTAATGGTGGATCAGTGAATATTGCATTGTTGATTTTGATGTAATTTGTTCTCAAAGTGGTAAAATTGGTGACGTGAATGAATGGGTTTAATACAATTTTGATTTTAGAATGTCCACTAGATTGAGTAGTAATTTGGTGAACATTAGACAAAAGTTTGATTATGTTTTATTGCTTTTTAAGTGCTAAATTGGTGAATTTGGAGTAATGAGTCTGAAAAAGATTTGATTTATTAGCATTAATTTGGTGACTTTTGTAAATGGGTTTGATTAGTTTCAGTTTCTAAGTGTTAAATTTGTTAATTTGGAATTTTGAATAATTGGGTTTAATCAAATTTTGTTTCTTATTTATGAATGAGTTTGGTAAATTTGGTTGATTTCTTCCAAGTAGTAATCTCACTAATATGGTGAATTGGAATCATAGCTGATTAGATTTGGCTTTTAAGTGGTGAATTTGAAATCATGATCTTAATAAATTTTGGTCCATGGATAATCAAGGAATTTTGCATAATGGGCTAGCCAAAAGGCTTTGATTAGTTGGTTTGAAATGGTAAATTATTGATATAAGATTGATCAAATTTTGGGTTTGAGCTCTAACGGATGAAATTAGATTATTGAGTTAGTCTAAATTAAATTTTAGTAAGGATTAAGTTTATTACAATTATAATCATTTATATTTCCTCATTCTTTGACCTGCAATTGTAACGAGAGTTGTCCCATGAAATTGTGGTTAAGCTTGTGAATGTGATAAAGCTTGCAGGTTTTTACTAATGACATCAACTCACGGTGAAAAAGCATGTGTTTAAGGTGATAACCTGCTTAAGTTATATTTTTTTCAAGTGTCGGGGGTTGATGTTTGATTTATTAGCATGTTCAATAAAGAGATAGTAGGTTGTTGTTAATAAGTTGTCGCACATTTGTTGGTATATAGAGTTTAGCTCTAAGATTTACTAGTTGTAAGCTTGTTATGTTTTAGAACATTAGTCATTTAGCTTAAGCTTTATAATTAGTACAGTAGTTTAAAAAGCTAAGTTGTAATTCATTTTTGTAATAATACACTACTTTCGTTTTCTCTCTCCTCTCTTTCTCTCTTCCTTCCACGATACTGATTGAAGCAAGCTACTTCCATGGCTTCTCTTCACTTCCTCCATGACTTTCTTCCACCATAAACGTTTATTTTAACATGGTATCAGAGCGGGAACGATCCTAGTTCCATTTTTCGCACAATTTTGTTCAATTAAAATCCCCAAATTTCTAGGGTTCTTCAAATTTTTCACTCTTTATTGTTCGAATTTGAACAATTAGTCACAAATTGTATAAGGGATGCTTGTTTGACCTTCTGTATTTGTGAGATTTCGACCAATTTCTGGCAAATTTGATCAATTTTTGGTGGTTTTATGGATGTTTCGTTCTTGAAGTTTTTTCGATCGAATTACGGGTTTGCAAGTTTAGGTTATTAGAACTTCATTCTGATTGGTTTGAAGAATTTAGATCGCTCAGATTTCGCTCAAATTTCTGGGATTAGAAATTGGATTGAAGTCTCTGGGTTTTGCCGCCCAAATTACAGTGAAGCAATCAGTGAAGTTTAGTTTCTGGGTTCTTTGTTCTCATTGTTGGGTTTTTCGATATTCTTGTTGGTGAAGTTCGTAGCCACCGCCGTCGTTGCTGTCAAGATTGCTGTTGGTGTTTGCCCTTTCTTTTCTTCGGTGGTGATTGAAGGAAGTTGGGTGTGTTCTGGTTCAATATTACTTCCCATATTCTTGATTGACTTGAGGATTTCTGCTTAATTCTGGTATATTTCTTATATTTTCAATCCTTGTTTGGTGATTGGTATACTGTTTCTTGGTGTATATTGATTGATTGGAGGTGTAGTCAGATTTTGTTGATGTTATTGTGGATATTCTTGTTACTATTGGATTTGAGTTGTTCTTGATTGAATGTTGACTTGAAGTGTGTATTGTGTTTTTGGATGTTGATGATGAATATTGGTTAGTTGAAGTCTGTTGGATTTTTGGGTTAATTGTTGGTTGAGTTTTGAATTGAAGTTTGGGTTGTATTGGTAATTGATATATTTTATGATGTTGATATTGTGCTGATAGTTGATGGGTGATGTTGAGAGTTCTTTGGTTGTTTCCTTCCCAAACACATTCTTTCGTCTCTTTCTTTTTCCCCTTCTTCCTCAAATTGTAAAGTTTGTTCTTTTTGGATTATTAATCAAATTGCCGAGGTTAAATTTCCAGAGAGTTTGATTGATATCCATTCTTTTCTTGCCTTCTTTTGAGGCTTTTCTCTGATGATCCTTAGTGATCTATTTTGACCCATAGTGGTCCTTTTTGCCCATAGTGGCTTGTTAGTTGCCCACAGAGGCTTTGATATGACCCATAGTTGGTCATTTGCCCATAGTGGCTTGTTGATTGCCCATAGTGGCTTATTTGATGATCCATTGAGATCAGTTTTTCAGATCCATAGTTGGTCATTTTGTTTTGCCCATAGTGGCTTTCTTTTGTGATCCATAGTGATCAAATTTTATGACCCAATAGATGGTCATTTTCAAGACCCATAGTGGTCAGTTTTGTTGTGGCCAAAAGGTTAGTTTTGTGATCCTTTGTGATCAGTTTTGGTGAGACCCATTGAGGCTCATTTCTTCAAAGACCCGAAGAGGTCAAATTTTCAGATCCTTTGTGATCACTTTCTTCTCTTTTTCAGTTTCCAAACACATTCTCTTCCAGATTCATTCTCCTCTTATTTTCCATTTACATTGGAACTATAGTGTATGTGTTGTTATATGGGTGGAGATTGGCTTGGTTGATGGTTCATAGGTGTATCGTGAGATTGGTGGTCACACAGTTGGTGTATTTGGAAAGTTTGGTTGTTTATGGCTGGTTTGGAGGATTGATATGGTTTGGTCATCTATTAAATCAATTTGATGGTCTATTGTGATATATGGTGGCGTTTGTATATTGTGGTGATGACGTTGTTTGGTTAGTTCCAAATACGACTGATTTGGAATACATTAGTGTGTTTTGTGGGAGTTGGTACTTGTGCAATTATGGTGATATGAAGGTTGAGGTTTCAGCAAATTTATGGTTTCAGTTGGCATCGATATTGGCATCTCTTCAGCAAAATACATATTCTTGGATGTTGCTTATGAGTTGATGACGATGATTAGCTTCAGTTACATGGGATTGTATACATTGCATCTTTGATTGTGGCTTTGCTTTCTTCCTTGCTTTCTTTGCATTTTATTCCCCTCCTGTTAGCTTCTTCAAACTAAAAATGGTTAACCATTTTCAGTTTGAGGGGGGGTGTTGGTATATAGAGTTTAGCTCTAAGATTTAATAGTTGTAAGCTTGTTATGTTTTAGAACATTAGTCATTTAGCTTAAGCTTTATAATTAGTACAGTAGTATAAAAATCTAAGTTGTAATTCATTTTTGTAATAATACACTACTTTCCTTTTCTCTCTCCTCTCTTTCTCTCTTCCTTCCACGATATTGATTGAAGCAAGCTACTTCCATGGCTTCTCTTCACTTCCTCCATGACTTTCTTCCACCATAAACGTGTATTTTAACAACATTCGATTATTAGTGCTCTGGTGGTTGTAAACAACCATGTGATTAGAGAGATTTTCGCTTTGCCTCTCTTTAAGAATCGTTACTTTGATTGGAGGTTATACTTTTTTCTCTCAACTCATATATGTTTCTATAAATGGAGGGTTATGTTTTTTTTTTAGTATTTTGATCTTTTATTATCTGATTTTGTTGTTTTCGAGTGGTTTATATTGGAATTTATGGTGAACTTTTACATATTTTGAGAATTTTTTTTATTGTTGTTAGTGGTAATATTATGGTGCATTTTGATTTGATTGAATCTACTTTGATATAGATTACTTAGACAGCCAAGAGGTTCGGTTCAGTGTTATGTATCTAAAGGTTGTATTTTGATTGTTTTGAATAATTGAGGTTGAAGGGGGGGTATTTATGTATTAGTCTATTTTGCACCATGTAAATAGTGTTCATGGATTTTTGTATGTGAAAATGGGAAAATATTGTTTCTGCCATGTTTAATAGTGGTAAGAAAAATTCGATCGAGGGAAAGATAGATTCAATCGAGGAATTAATAAGTTCAAAATGCAAGTAGTAAGCTATGGAGGATGAGGCAGAAGAGACATGTTGCTGAATCACTTGTTGTGGCTTTTTGTTGTTGATATTAAGTTTTTTTGTTACAAGAATTAAGCCTTGTTTTTAAATTGTTTTCAATTGTGTATAGGAGGATGATGAGCTGTTCAAGAAACTCGGTCAAGGAAGTTGATGAATGAAGGGGCTAAAGAAATTATCAAGAATATGTTGGATTCACTTTTTATAAAATAAGACAGTTGTTGGTTATGGTTGGTTGTAAATTATTTATATAAGCTCATATATACAGTACTTGTAAATTGTGTAAACAATTTTCTTGTATACTTGTAAATTTTAATAATAAGTTTATATATAATTTATTCTTATTATACTATTTATTCTCCATTTTAGTACAGTAATTATAAAATAATAAATAAATCATCAAAATTTATATTATTAAAAAAAAAAGTTAAAAGAGACATGTTGTCTTTCAAAGCAGGTCTCTTTGATGGCGTCAAAGAGACCTGTTATGTTCAATAACTGGTCTCTTTCCCTTTATGAATATAAAAGGTAACATGCAAAGAGACCTGTTGGCTTACATAACAGGTCTCTTTGGCTCAATTAAAGAAACCTGTTGACTTGAACAGGGTTCTTTATCAAAGAGACCTGTGAGCTAGAGACCTCCTCTAAACAGGTCTCTTACGCCTCTTATAACAGGTCTCTTTGGCCTTTTTTGTAGTAGTGTTCGTCGTTCGCATCCGTCAAACTCCGGATCAGCTCCTCCTGTTTCAACTCTACTGCTTTAATCTTAAACTCACACATATAATTAGCATATTCAGCAGAGTTGAGGTTTTCAAGGGCCCTCCGTTTGGCGTAATTTACCTCTTCCTATTTCCGCCTGAAGGGGCCCCGGAGGCCATCCACTCTCAGCATCACCTGAGAAAAGAGCAGCCGGATTATGATAAGCTTAGTTCAAATAAAGGAAAAGTATTGGGGTTTTGGGATTTTTTACCTCAGCCAGTTGGCCCATTATCCGGTCGAAGTCCACCATATGCAGGTCAGGTATGGAGTTCTTCTCCGACCGGGTAAGGGTTCTCACCATCCGTTTGGCGAAACCCGCAAGATTCGGCTCGTCGGATGTCAGATCTGCACCAAAAGTAGTACTCTGTGAGTAAGAGGCAGCATAGGTGGCACTCATCCGTTGCCGGCTGCTGACTGAACCCTCAGAGGGGTCTACCTTAGTCTTGACTCTCATAAAGTCAAGTGGCCAAGGTATTTCAATCTTTCCCTTACCTTGGGTATCCGGATGGGGCACAGGCTTCTGCTCCTCCCCAGTTGTTGCCGCACCGTCTGCAACATTAGGTGGCTCGCCACCCTTCGATGCCGTCGAGGCATCCAGCGCTTTCTGCTGAGAGCGTTCTGAGCTTTCGCTCAAAATCTTCATCGCAGCAGGCGATTTGCCTCCAGTCGTTGGACGACCGGATTGGGAAGAAGAATGTGTTTGGGGAGGGGGATCCTTCCTAGCGGCCTTTGCAGCCGGAGCTTTCTCCAGATTATCTCCTTACCTTTTGAGAAGCTTGGAGAAGGATCGTGGAATTAAGTATACCCAGCCGACAAATTTTAAAAAAAAATGTATACACATAAAAAGTCAGGCGGTCTTACCCCGTTTTTTTAGAGTCCTTGCCTTCGACGGCTGCCTTCTTGGCGAGTGCAGCCTCTTTGCGCAGCAGCGCCGCCGACTTAGCCGGTGTCTTTGCCGGGTTGACCATTTTCAAGGTGTCGGATCGGCTGCATGAACAGAATTCGAAGTTAGAAGAAATTATGGCAAGTTTGCAATAAAAATAAAAATAACAAACGTTCCGGATGTAAGGTATTCTACCCTTGGGAAACATGGTACTTAGCCCGCAGGCGGACAAGAAGCACTCGTCCTTGAAGAAGTCCGGATAGGGGATCCAGTTCTTGGGAACTATAATGTGAGTCCCATCCCCCATGGGCTCGGTTGTTGTTTCAAAAAATCCCGGCTCTATTATTTTCTCCCGGGCCTTAGTAGATAGCATCGGGAGAGGGCACTTCCTGCCTAGAAGAGCCGGCTCAGTGTTGTACCGGCGCAGTGTCCGGTTATGTCTCAAAGTTGGGGAAGAAATCAAGTAAAACTTGTCTTTCCACTCGGACCATTTGGACACCTTGTCCAAAGTCATCAAATATTGGGGCAAGGTAGTCAGAGTATACCATGCCCTATGGCCGCCTGGGGCCTTGCTCAAATAATGCATGTGAGCGAAGGCAGAGAAGCTTGGATTTATATTCTGGAGCTCGCAGGCGGCGATGTAACTAAGAATATTCACCCATGAATTGGGGGTGAGCTACCAAACCCCTACATCGTACCCCTTTAGGATTTTCCTAATCCCGGGGTGGAGGGGGAACCGGAGGCCGGCTTTAATGACCGCCTCGTAGCAGACGAAGTAATGGTCTGCATTATCAATATCATCACTCTAGGCCATTACAACGTCAGCCGGTGGAACGATGATGTCCCAGCCCCTTCCAAAGGGGTGCTTTTCCTTAAAAGCCCTAAAGCCGCTCTTAAGTAGGGCGATGTTACCTGGCAGCATCCTAGTCCGTTTGGGGTTGGGTAGGTCGGCGACCTTAGGCGGCTGATGATAGTCAGCCGCAAAGTTATCTTGGTCAGAGCTTGAAGATCCGGCCCTTGACCCTTCGCCGGCCTCAGCATCGCCGACTTCATTAGAGGAGGCGGATCCCTCGCCATCTACCTCTCGTACCCCCGAGCTCCCGGAAGTAGAGGGAGCCTCTTCATCAGAACCACTCTCCTCTAAATCCCTCTTTTCCCCGTCCGAAACAACCTCGTCGGCTGGCACTTCTATAGGGCGCCGGCTCCTAGACCTTCTGGCCGTTTGTTTCGTTCTGGCCATTGTGTCCTGCACAAACACAGAGAGGGAGGAATTCGGAGATGAGCATATCGGTTCCGACAGTCCAGAAAAGGCACCCCCTGTTCTAGACTCAGCCGTTCCGGGGGACCGGCTGAGTGTCCTAGGCAGTGCCGAGTGAGTGGATTGAGAACTCATCTATATTTTCTAAAAAACTATGTATACGTGCGGAGAAAGAATTGTATACAAGTTGAAAAAGAGGAAAGCTAAAATGGTACAGGCAGTTACCTTACTTTTACTCTGAAAAATTTGAAAACCGCTACAACCGGTAAACCGGGTGTTGAACTTCTAGCACACGGAAGCTTGAAACTGCTTTGATGTAGACGGAGGCAGAGAATCTCTCTCTAGAATCTCTCTTTTTCTCTCTCTAAAAAGTCAAATGTGAATAAGGTGAAGAAAAAAGGGGAGGTAAACTTCTATTTATAGAAGGTGAAAACGGGGGAAATCCTTGTTTGAAATTCAAATTTTACTACCCGTTACCGTTCACCTTTGATAGGTGGACACGTGTCACAGGCCTCACGTGATATGCACGTGAGCCCTGTAAAAATACTCTAAACACATGGACCAATGAGAGGAGGCCACGTGTCAAGTTCAGGATGGCCCACGTGGCTTAATATCCTCTTGAAACATGGCCCCTTGGATACATCCCTGAAATGGCGGCCTTCAAGGGCCCAAATCCCAAGAAGCGCCGTAAAACGACGCAACCCATTGAAATCTAGGTCAAGTAACCTAGATAGGGGCACGTTCTCCAATGACCCTATAAATAGGGAGATATTTCCCCATTTTGGGGACACATTCAATCATTTATTACACCTACATTATCTCACATCAGAGAAACACCTGAGCTTGGAATCCAAGCAGATCCCCACCTAAATTTCCGCATTCTTTACTCTCTTTCAAGTTACTAACTTGATCGTCGGAGGCGGAGCTCCAACCACCCGGAGCCTCCGTTGTTTTGCAGGTACAACTCAGCCGGATCAAACTTCGTGACGTAACTCTCCCGAGGGACAAAATCACCCAAAACATATCTCAATACAATCGTTAAAGATGTCATCAATTCAAATATAGGTTAGCCTGCAAATTAAAAGTTTTAAAGCAAAGAATTATAAAATACAACATTTTTGGAACATATTGCTTCTTCAACTTATTAGTTACAGCTTGAAAAATAATTCAAAGCTCATGATTTCCACCCATTTGAGATTCGTTTCCACTTCTAAAGTTTCGAAAGATGAAACACCGTCCTACTTCATAACTTCTTCTAACACCATCTTCTCTTTGTTATTCATTTTTTGCTCCCTTTATTCATCTTTAACCATGCATTTGCAAATTCCAAGATTAGCATTGATGCCCTAAAGAAGTTTTCCAAATTATAGAAGTACTATAACGATAAGCTACTTATCGACATCATTTACTTTGATTGTATCTTTTCTTTTCGCTTCAAATTTTTTGTCTTTCTTTTCTTGAAAAGGAAATTATCAAACTCTTTCTTCGTTAGACACTTATAAGAATGTTTTGTAGAATAAGTGGTAGAATTCACATTACTATCGTCATTCTCAATTATCATTGGCCGACTTGCAATCTCATCATCCTTTTTTTTTCTTTTAGATAGAAAGAAGCACGAATATGATTAGGTCTATGATCTCTCAAAACTAAGACCTAATCTATCAAATTGGAAATTTAATTTCTCAAATAAGGTTTATCTGTTGAAGCCTATATATCACATTACCTGCCAAGTGATGTAATACCCCGAATTTTTGAAAAATATTTTCTTAAATATTTGTATTCAATTATAAGCCAAAATTAATTTTAAATTTTAGCGCTAAAAATAAGTATATATTATTTAAGCAATTAATTATTTAAGTATTTTAAAATCAATAATAATAATTAATAATCTTGATCGGTTCATCTTTTATTTTTTCTTAATTATTTTTTATTCAATTATTTGAATTGGGAGCCAAAATTAATTTTAAATTTTAGCGCTAAAAATAAGTATCTAATTATTTGAACAACTAATTATTTAATTATTTTAAACTCAATAACAATAATTAATAATCTTGATCGGTTCATTTTTATTTTTTCTTAATTATTTTTATTCAGTTATTTGAATAAGGAGCCGAAATTAATTTTAAATTTTGGCGTAAAAAATAATTATCTAATTAGTTGAAAAAATAATTATTTAAGTATTTAAAATCAATAATAATAATGAATAATCTTGGTCGGTTCATATTTTATTTTCTAGATTTATGTGGTATGGAATTTATATTAATGATTTACAACTATTTTAGTTTGATATTGTCTAATATATTTTAGCTTGATTTAATTATCAAATCATTTATTTTAAACTATGATTTTCAAAAAATAAATAAATAAATGTTGGTCGTGAGTTTCAACATGGCTTACTTATCTCATGGCTTTATCTTATTTAACCTTAAGTATTAAATCCCCTAGTTTATCT